ATGCTGTGCAGGGGCCCCAGACTGTGGTCTGAGCTGTATCGCACCACACTGGTTACTGGGGCAGGGGCTGGAAGTGGAGCTGGGGAAGGGAGGGGGAGCCTGGAGCCCCCTGGCTGTTGCTGGAGCTGGAGCCATAAGGGCAGTGGCAGCTGGGTGGGAGTGGGGAGGGGGCACAATTAACCCCCTGGGGGTTGTATTCAGCCTCTGAGCTGCCAGTGGGACAGCACTGACTCAGGTACCACTGAGGATAAAAATCATAAGAGATGAAAACTAAAGGATGTTTTGGTGCAATATTAATACAAATTGATCTGATTCCTAACAAGTGAAAAACATTTTTAAAGACGGAGCTAAATGCACAAATTTGTCATGAAAATATTTATCTGATGAAGTCAGACTTTAATAACTACTAAATAATTAACCGCTTTTTTGGAAACTGATTTTTTTCCATAGGTATCATTATGCAACAATGGCTTGCAGAATGGAATCACCTACTTAATAGATTAGCACCTTGAATCAACGGTGCCAACAGATTTTAAATCACTGAGGCTTCAAAATCTGGAATGAATTAAAATGCATTCCCTTTGACACAACTCATCAGCAAGAGGCTGAAAAACAAAACTAATTATGCAGGCTTATCAGCAACTAAAATAATTTACACTGAAAGGTCAACTTGAAATGACTTTCACAATTCAAGGAGACTCATATTTTAAGAAAGGCTGACAAACAAAAATATTTATGTAACAGTTAAACGCTTGCCTTCGACATAAATGTAGAAACAAACATGGTTAGCAAGCAAAACTTTGTAAAGTTTTTAACAATGAACTTTTTCACTGGCTTTAGCTGTACTACCATTTCTGAACTGGCCTGAAAGCTGTACTGCCAAACACACAAGTTTGCCTTCCTTTCCTCCAATTAAATCAAAACCTAATGGGGAGTAGAGGACAAAATTAATCTACTTAAAGCAACTGTGTGTCATTACTTTGAAAAATAAAGTAAAAAAAAAAAATCATAAAGTCTAAACAACAATTTTTAGACAATGACTGCTTTTAATTTTGCCACAGACTCAGCAGTAGTAATAGACTTAAGACTTTAAACTTTGTTTAAAGGTTAACAGCAGCATTAGTTGCCACAAGTTTACAAATTGCAGATTCAGGAATTATCAGGAATTTAACTTTCAACTGTAGCATTTCAAAGTTCACTTCTTCTGTGGAAAGCAAAATTGAAAGTTCTGTAGCTACAGAGCCCTTCACTGACATTAACTTGACTATTCAATGAAAATGGAACAGTAATTAAATACGATTTTTTAAAATTATATGTATTAACCAACTATATACGATTTAATTACTCAGACGTATGTATTTGAAGGACCCACCACTTGGTAACTTTATGTTAAATTACTCATAAAAAGCACTAACGTAGCTGTGACTAAACTTACAGGTATAAGAAAAGTTGAATTTGTTCTTGTTAGTAAAAAAAAAATCATTCATTCCTATTGGTGATGACTACTATGTTATTGTAACAAAATTCAAATGGATACAGGATCATGAGCTGTCCTGTGAAACATTTCTTGAGTGACCACAGTATATTAGTACATTATTGTGCATTATATTTCCACATTATGGTGCCTTATTTCCATAGTATAGTGCCTATAGTACCATAGCACTAATTCATGCATCAGGACACAAAATTAATCCATCTTTCCTACCAATATTGGACTACTAATATTTAACATGCTTTTACATTCTATTTTTCTAACATAAATGAGAGTACCTCCAAGTTTATTTCAACCAAAGACTAGGTAAAGTCCAGTCGGAGAGAGTAAGTAGGACTCTTCACCAGGTGAGTGCTATCCGTTATGAAAGAATCTGAGCTTTCATTAAAAATAAAATTTCCTTTTCCTTGCAGTAGTGAACGTCACCCTGTGTACATGACCCAGGCACAAACTGAGGTAAGAATGTACTGGTGGGTGTATTGCTCTCAGTTACTGGTTTGACAGTGTGGGGGACATTACCAACACTACTAAACGACAGAAAAGGATTGCTTTTAGGCATCCTGAGAGCAGATGCAAATCTACAGACATCTGCATTAGCAAGGCAGCAGCAACTCCAGAACAGGACCCCGCATTGGCATCAGCGAGGCCAGGTTTCCACTTCTACCAGGGCTCCTTATACAAGTATCCCTAGCTTTGCTAGCAGATAAAGGAATAACTGCCCCTGGTTTTTTGGTCTGCACGTATCCCACTGCTCCGAGCTCTGGGTGAGTTTGGAGTCTCAGGTGCTGGCTCCAGAACAGCAGGCCCCGTCGGAGAGCAAAAGGGTCAGACTGACACCAGTAGAGGCCGAGGGATGGGAGTAGTCCTTCTGAATTGTTTGCAACGTAAAAACTGCTCCGTTATTTTTCTGTGGTCAAAACCAAGGTAAAACTAAGAAGTGGCATTTTCCAAGAGGTGCCTTGTGCTTAAGGAAGTTGAAAACTACTGTTTTAAAACATAGCCAGACCAAAAGCTAGTGCTTCCCTCCACCCCTCATTTGAAAGATAGCTCAGTAGCTACATCTCATGATGAGGGGCCTAGGTAATTTGTGGTTTCGCAGAAAGCGTGAAACCAATAATTAAAAATAACTTAATAAAAATGAAATGCTGGCTCCCCAGTGGTCCTCGCTGCCAGACGGGAAGGCGCTGGGTGCTGGGATGGCACAAATCCAGATGGTGACTGCCCCTTCGTCCCTCCTCCCTCCACCAGGGCTTTTGCCAATCGGTGCCGAGGGGCGGGGTACATGAAGAGCAGCCAGCAATCAAGATGACAGCCGCCCCCTCATTCCTCCTTCCTGTTGGCTTCTCTGCCAATCAGTGCTGGGGGGTGGGGCCTCTCTGCCAATCAGCATAAAGGGGTGGGGACACCGCAAAATACCTGTGAAATTGGCTATGCGCTAGGAAGAAACCATTGTCCCGCTGCGATTTCTGTACATCCCTGCTCATGGTTTTAGCCTCTCCTCTGCCTAAGGCAGGGGTGGGCAATTATTTTGGGCAGAGGGCCACTTACTGAGTTTTGGCAAGCCATCGAGGGCCGCATGACAGGCAGCCAGGGTAGATAAATATTAATTTTCTAAATTTTTTAGGGGCCCTGCGGGCCAGATAGAATGGCTTGGCAGACCACATTTTGCACACCCCTGGCCAAAGGGGTTCAAACCCGCATCTCCAAGAAAAATAGTTTTAAACATCAGACTCTGCTGTGCCGGGACAGGGCACCCACCCTCTTCCTGAAGCTGGGCTACTTTGCAAAGAGCAGAGCCGAGTGAGATGGGCGCTAAGGGGATAGCTTGGGGAGCTGACATTAAAACCAACTCTTCTGTGATGCCAAAAAGGAAAGCGCTTCACCATCTGTGCCTGCGCCCTCAAAACTGCTGATACACAGAACAATCTGAGAGCAAAAACTTACTACCCATTCAATTTCTTACCAAGATTTGCTACCCATTCTCAGCAGCTTAGTTGTGAAATAACTACACTGGCCTTTTTCGGGGTGGTGCTTCCATCTCCAGTAGATCTCCCAATATCCAGAGCAGCCTTTTGATGTTGTCATGAGTTCAGTCCCCAGCTTCTCCACGTTCTCACGTAAAAGCTGACCCCGTTACTCAAAGGCACGCTTGGCAGCACAGTGGCGGGAAGACTCATATAGCTAATGTTTTTGACCTGTTCAGAGGTTAAACTTCTTTGCACTCATTTTTTTTTAAGTCCTATAAAGGTGCAATCTTTTGGGGAAACGCAGCATCTTTACCTGATGCCCACAGAGCACATTTCAGACCTGTGTCTTTTAGCAACAACGATTCTCATTGGCACCGAGCTGGCCTCCCCACTTGCCAAGGAGACAGTGGGCAGCATGCACTGGCTCCTTGCACTCATTCGAGGGGCGCTGGGTGCCGTCCTGTGAACTCTGCTCAGTGTCCCTGCTTGGCACTCTTCTTCTGAGCCTTTGACCAGCACTCCCATCCCTGTTTTTTTCATATTTGTCCCAAGGAATCTGTTGCCCCCTTTCCCTGTAGCCTTCCTGCCTAGGGGAGCCCAATGAGAAACTTGGTGCGCTGGACCCATGTAATGAAAGGGTGACAAACTTGGAAAGAAGAAGCCACGCAGCTGGGAGGCAAGAGTAGCGAGACACACAGAGAGAGAAAATAAGCTGGTTTCCGAGTTTTCTTCTCTCCCCCTATGCAGCTTTTATCAGCATCAATCCATTTCTACCAGCAAGCTTTGCCCACTTTGCCAGCTGCAGTAATCAACCCCATCCAACGCTGGACGCAGCATCACATCGCAGCAACCCGGCGAGGTCCTCTTTTCCCCCCTTCACACACAGCCTAGCAACAAAAGCCACCGTCCCCGGGTGAAACGGATCGCGCCTGATGCTGGGGCCGGCTCCTCAACACAGCAGCCATCTTTGGCGTGTAACTTAAAAGAGGGATTTCATCATTCTGCAACCAAGCGGCCACCGGCACCGGAGGATGCAGCCGTGGGTGCTGCCAGTCCCAAACCCTCCGGCCCTGAGACGCATCCCGCGTGCCCTTCAATGGGGTCACGCTGCATTTTTTTAATCTTTTTTTTTTTTTTAACTGCTTTGCTAGGAGAATTATTTTAGACCCCCCCCCCCAGGAGGCCAGCTTGTCTCTTCTGAGGATGCTCCATAACCTCAAGCAGGAATTCACCCAGCACTGAAACAGCCTCTTCCCTGGCAGGGCTGACACAGAGGGCAGCCTCCCTCTTCATGCCACCCGCGCCCCTGAGCCCTCACCCGCAGTGGTGCGAGGGGCTGCGGGCCCCCGGGGGGCGCGTGCAGGGCAACCCCCGCTGCACTGGGAGCAGGGCAGTGCAGTGCAGTGCAGTGCCACCCCCCCGCTGCACTGGGAGCGGGGCAATGCAGTGCAACCCGCCCGCTGCACTGGGAGCGGGGCAGTGCAAACCCCGCCGTGCAGCAGCAGCAGCTTCCCCCTCGCTGCCGGGGCCCCGGGACTCACCGCGCCCGCTGCTCCTGCGCA